TCTGAGGTGCAGGACATCGTGGCTTCAGAGTGGTGATCTACCTCTCAAGGGTATGTTTCTCGAACCTCTTGTGAGCTGTATAAATCCTTTTATAGGGACGTCGGATTACGTCTTAAGGGAGTTAAAGATTTTACTTATAAGTGTAGTGACCTCTCGTGTTTCTTTTCGACGTATACACTATTTAGATGATTTTACTTTTGGGAAGTCAAGTATGGAGTACCGTCGTCTGGTGTTACCGTTCGCGAGGTCGGTGGTATCTAGACCATGTACAAGCTTTCATCAGGTTGTTGACGTCTCATTGTCGGGATCCTCTCGCCTAGTTGTCCCTTAACCAATTTAAAGGTTCTTAATGTCGTGTTAATTTATTGTAGTGTCCAATTAACCCTGGACGTGTTTCCCCAATATCCCCTTTCCGAGTTCGGGTTACGACGATTACTCCCGAGAAACACACTCCTTGTCTCTCTCTGTGTGTAACACCCCTGTAGAGAGTAACAGAACACGCAATTTCTCTGTTGTCCACCTTTCACACCATTTTTGGGAAGGATAGTTCGAAGGTGACATTAATGTAAAGTCCCCATACGTTTTAAAATGCTTAATAAGCACCGGAACTTTCATGATATAATTTCTAGGTCATAATCGGTTGTTTCCGTGAACGGCCGACTGTTGTGTGACGGCAAATGCTGCGGCCGCAAGGTATTGTGGGGCAGCATTTTCTCCTCTCCTCTCGGTGAGGGAGGTCCAGTAGTTCCTAGGCTAAAGGAGGTTATAAAGGAAGTTTGAAACCTCCTTTCCTATCATCTAGAGAATTAGAACGACACTGATCATGGCTGTCACTGAGGGACTTCCGGGTCATTTCACTCCGTTAGGAAGGTTCCTAAGCTAAATGGACTATTCGGCTTCAGCCTCAGTCTATAACAAGATCACGTTTTTTTCACATTTTTCTGAGGTGCCATTCATTCATTGAAATTAGAAAAAAATTATATTTACTGTTTTGTGTTTCCTAGTAAATACAAACTTGAGTCCATTTATTGCTGTTAAAACAAGGGAAATAGTAATCCAGAGTGTGAGAACTATACTGCTGCTGGTTTCACATGCATGTCACAATTTTGAAAGACAACCTTGTGTCTCTTCTCCTAATAATAATAATTTTTCTTCCTTCCTCAGCTCTTTGCCATGGTCTTTGCGATGTGTCTCTTCAGGGGAATCCAATAGAGCTGCTCCACCTGTGAACTTCTTTTTCTAAAAAGGGAATTCAGGAGAAAAGGACAAAATGGACATTTGTACATTTGTTGATCTCCTTTTCTATTGGCTAATTGTTAGAAAAACAAACTCTCAAACTCCTGTACTTCACAGCTGGACTTTTGAGGTACTGGGTGCCAAAACAACACGTATACACACACACACACACACACACACACACACACACACACACACACACACACACACACACACACACACACACACACACACATATATAAATCATAGAGAAAGTGGGAGACAAAACTGATGTAAAAAGATTTGTGTGTAAAGTGGAAACAGTAATTCTTTTGGACCAGGTCTAGCACAGACTGGGTGTAAAGTGGATACGGCATGAGGACCAGGTGAAGCCTGAGCAGAAGGCACTGCACTGACTTTTGGATGAAGAATATTTATATTAAGTAAAGTTGGCTTAACTGTAAAAAAAATGTGTGTTATGTACACTTTGGCTGTTTCCCTTTTCCTGCTCATACTGTATACTGTAACACTCCCTCCCTTAATATGCCTTTTATACAGCCACGCTTCTTTAATGCTGTGTTACATAAGCCCTGTGTGTGTGTGAGTGTGTGTGAGTGTGTGTGGGTGTGTGTTTGTGTACATACTGGATGCTCTTTTTGAATGTGTATGAAATAGTTTGTGAGCATGTGAGCTCGAGGCTCTTCATGACCCCTCCTAAGCTTTGAAAGCCAACCTCTGATTCTTTTTCTATCTGTATGGTGCTGTTTACTGCAGTAGTGGTTATAATGTGGTTTTAGGTGGTGAAATGTATGTGTATGCATTTGTATTAGATTCTTGAAAAGTCAATGACATAAATGGCATTCTAAATGACTGTCCTTGTGTTTTTGTTTTATTTACTTCTCACACTGCCAACAAAATTTCAGATCATGTTCATAAATACAATTATCCTTAAGTCTAGTGTTGTCGACATGGTAATCAATATGCATCACATTCATGTTGGACCACATTGTTGTGAGAATAAAAAAATGTCCAGCAGTTTTATTCATTATTAACAGATTTAATTGCTTCAGTTTATAAGAGGGAGAACAAAAACGTTGTGATTTTACGAGAAAAACAAAGCTTAAACACTTTCTTCAAGCCCAATAAAAATAATCTATTGCTATTTGTTGCAGCCTTGTGGCCTTAGTGTTTGATATATCTTAAAGCAAATCATTCATCTCTGCTGCACTTTTTTGACATTTGAAGTATTGAATCACAAAAGCTGACTTAATATATTGATGAGCCGAAGCATTATAAAATGTGATTATAGTCCACGTATGTGTGGCTCTTGGTGTTATTGTGATAATGGACTCAATTTCTCATTGAATGTATTAGCGTATTGATTCTTTTCCTGCAAGAAAAATCCATGATAATTGAAGACAAAATAAAGAAAGAATTAATAAGCTATGGTTCCGACTGTGGAGATGCCAAACCATTATGGCGAAGTAACAGATTTTTCAAAGTAGAAAATGTGCCCCTGATTTTCAATAAGTGGTTTCACAGAATACACTTTCACTAGAATAAACAAAGAAAAACATGTCTAAACATTTCAGCTGTTGGTTGTATAAACCTGTCAAGATTGTGGCACGTATGGTGTAAAGTAAGACACTAAACTAAAAACTAAATAATCTGACAGATCTCAAGCTCCCACTTTGTTCACAGCACAGCAGCAACATGTATGCCTTCTGAACAATTTAACAGTCCAACGTTCTTTTGACATGTGACGAAAAACACTTGGGAAGAAAATTAAATGTAGGTCTATGTGGTCTGTAATGCTTTCTCTCTTCGGTAATTGTTTTTCTTAATTTGTCGGCTGGTTACTCTGATAGCTGCCATGCTCACTGCTCAGAATTAGCCTGGGGACAAATGGCAAATGTGCTTTAAATTAACTATGTTGTGTTTTCATGTGAATATGCAAACCTAATGCTGACTTAACTACACAGACCAGTTTCAAGAGATGTTGGCTGAATGAATCGTTTTATTAAATGTAGTGCTGTTGGAGCTGTTGGCCACTAGGAGGCGGGAAAACATCAAACAAGATGGATGCTGTCGTCCAATTCATTTGGGCCAGGCGACCTGTCCACCTGTAAAGATGTTAAATCTGACGTTTTATAAACAAATGTTTCACGTTCATTGGAAAACATTGATTTGGAGTCGTGTCTCTGTCCACCTGATGAATGTAAGTACGATGTTCACTATGCATTTCTGTTTCTGTTGAGCTTTGTTTGCTTGCACAGCCCCGTGTGACTAAAAACGCAAAACAAGTTAAAAGGGATTTGTTATAAACTCAGAAAAGATTGGATAACTTTGATACATTCTTATTTATCTTGATTCAAAGGGATTTGTTCATGCGTTTGCATTGTGGTCTGGATTAAGCTAATATTTAAAGATTGAGGAAGGCCTCAGCTACTACAATCAGTGACATTATTACAAACCTGGGAAAACCTTAACAGGGTTCTTCTTTTTCTTTGTCTGGATAAGTGTAAATTATGCCTTAATATCTTTGGGTTTAGGACAAACAATTTGGAGATGTCATCATGGCCTTTGCAGAAATGTGTTTGGCATTTTCCCTATTTCTGACATTCTGTAGATACAATTTAAAATCATTATTACCAGAAATAACACTTTAATAAAAATGAAAACAGCTATTGCCCTTTGTTATTGTGGGCCACATGTTTGAATTGTATTGGGTGTGTAAAGTATTTAAACAGCGATGCAATATCAGAAGCTGTATTGTGCCACAGATGCAATCATGCAGAGCACCTTCATCAGGTGAAATCATGATTTGAAGAAGTGCAGGGAAACTTGTGATGGATACTCTCAGCACTATGCAAGGTTTATTACCCTGCTCTGCTCTCACTTTGCAGACACACCTACAGCTTGGATATGTAAAGTAGCTGGACTGTAACAGTGAAATAGTGTGAGTGGTTTAGGCCGGCCTGCTGAGCTGCAGTCTCTCAGTCTCTCCTGGTTGCCCTTCATCCTTTCTCCTGGCTGCTAACAGGCAGGGATGGTTGGCGTGTTTTTCGACACCTCCTTCAAAATGTTCTTTTGGAGCTTGTTTTCACTCATCTCTCTGTAGTAGGGCTGCCATTTCAAAATGTATCCTTTCATGATACCTTTTTTTTGTAGGCACTTTGTGGCGCACGATAAACACACGATTTAAAGCGTTGTTTCTTTGTGGAGAAAATGTAGCTCTACAGATGAAGAAGAAATGATCGATTAGTCAACTTTTCCGATTGGACTAAAATGTCTTTAGTTGTGGACAGCCCTGCTCTGTACTGTAGGTGTTTTCCATCTTTAATTTGTTTCAGGTCCCTTTGGAGTTTTTTTATTTAAACACACATTAAGGTTGGTTTATAGATCTAACAAAAAGTATGTCTATAGATTTAAAAAAAGCTGTCTTATTCTCAGCTATAAAGGTATAGTTCAATTATAGACATACTTTTTGTTAGATCTATAAACCAACCTTAATGTGTGTTTAANACTTAAAAATAAAGCTCCCTCACCTCCTTCCAGGTGCGGGTGCTGTTGGCCTTGCGGGCTCCGTCCACGGCCGCCTGGTACTCCCCGAGGTGCACCAGAGTGGAGGCCAGACGGCCGAAGTTAGAGACGTTGTTGTAGAGCAGTTTGGCTGCGTCGTACATCTTATCATCATAGCAACGGTCACCCACCTGTAGAGAAGAGTACCAGAAAGCACAATCAGCAAAGTAGCAAACTGTAGAAAGAAATTGTGAGATTGTGAGATTGAGAGTGTGTGGAGACGTACTTGCTGAATGTGAGCGTTATTCGGTCCGTTGATGAACTCCTCGAGCTCAGCCAGGCGGTTTGTTTTGGCCAGAGCGAAGATCAGCTCCGTCTCAACGTACGACTCGCGGGCCTTCTTACGGGCCATCTGCAGGAACTTCACCAGGTCCTCCCAGTTTCCTGAAGACAGGATCAACATCAGCTTCAGGACAACATCAATCTAAAGCATATTTACTAGGGCTGTACCCAAAGCTCAAAGCTTCCTTGATAACTTTGATGTCCTTTTGAGGGTGCTTAGAAAGATTAAGTTACTCTAATAGTACTATTTGTAGAATTCCAGGGGTTGACATATTACATTTGTAGCTTCATTTCAACATTTCAATATTTCAATAGAAGCTTTAGAGGTACACAATGACTGTCAGTGCAGCCCGCCCCTTATACTTAATAATGTAGCGTCTCCTTTAAATGGATAGCCAAAGTTCCTCTTACCGCTTTGTGCAGCAGCTTGTCCCACCTCCATGTACGCAGAGGGGTCGTCAGCCTTGATGTACGAGTCGATGGCTTCCTTCACCAGGCCCTTCTGAAGCTGGGCCTTCGCCAGTTGACTCCACACCGGCGGCTCGTTGCAGCGCTCCGCAAACTCATAGGCTCGGTCCAGGTTACCAATGTGCTCAATGAGAACCTGGACAACCGCAAAACATATTTAGGGTGCGGTCAAATTGTCACCGCAAAGGAAACACACAGCTACCTTGCACATCAGTCATTTATAATAAGAGCTGTTAGAATTCACTAGATGAAAGGAAATGAGCTTCTGTTTTCCTTCATCATCTCCTTAAGGATACACTGATCCACACACTGTATGAAAGTACTTGTGTTCATTAGTAATCCACTGACCTGCACAGCAGAGGTGTTGACATCAAACTTTTTGAAAATAGCGAAGGCCTCCTCAAACAGCTCGTTGCTGATGGCGATGTTGGCGATGTCCGGGGCGTCGTAGTTGTCCAGGCGGTTGATGTACTCCATCACACGAGTACGGTCGGCTTTAATAGCTGTCAGGATCAGCAGGTTCTGCAGGTTTCTGAAAAACAGGACGTTTTCAGTGAGGGTCTTATTTTCTACTTTACTTAAAGGTGGGGTAGGTAAGTTTGAGAAACCGGCTCGAGATACACTTTTTGTTATATTCCATGGAATGCTCTTAACATCCCGATAGCAATGAATATCTTAAGTGCTTTGACAAAAAATCCATTAAAAAATGTCATCTGTGGAAGCCGTGTCGCTGTAAAAAGCACGACCAATCATCTGAGCCGGCCCGGCTAAAGTAACTGGATGGCCTACCTGCCTGTCAGCCTTCCATCTGTGCTCAAACTTATCTCATGCCCTCATTGGTCATGTGCGTGTTCGTGTGTGTTGGAGGAGGGGCTCTGTAAGGAAGTCTGAAGGAAGTGGCAGATTTTTTTCCAGCTGTGTATTTTCAAATTCTAGCGCACTCGAGCTGGTTTCTCCATTCTTACCTACCCCACCTTTAATAATGTTTTATTTGTGTCTTTGCTTTAACAGTGTAAATGTCCCTCTGTGGGATGAATAAAGGATTCCTGCTCGTCTCACCTGTGCTCACTGAAGACAGAGTTATCCAGGACGATCTTCTCCAGCAGCTCAATGAGCTCGTTGGGGAGGTCTGCGGTCATGAAGGCTTTGACTGTGACGGACACCTCCTCTGGGTCCTGGGTCTCAGACAAGGCCGTCTGCACCACCTGCAGCAGAGAGGGCCATTTGGTGTTGTAAGTACATATGAACAAGTCTATAACATGCATAAAAAGACAAGGGACGCAAATTGTGTAATGGTTTCAATATGAAAGCTAACTCTGACCTGGTCGATGAGCGGTCTCCGGTAGTTGTTGGTCTCCAGCAGGACGCTCGCCCACAGCTCAGCATCTTTACGACGCACCAGGTAGCGGGACAGACTCTTGAACAGCGAGTTCTCATTGCACACCTGAAGAAATACAAGACACACAAAAACTGTTAATATCACAGGCAACAGTTCAGACATGTCTTAGAGCTAATAAATGAACATTAAAACAACGACAAAAGTAACCATTCATTAACAAAAAGTGCAACACAAGATGCAAACTATTGCATTTGTCATGTAGCTTGATGAGCACAGAGGAATGGAATTAGTGCCCGTGTCCACATAGCGCCTTTTACGAGGCAAATGTTTCAATTGATTCAGGAGACATGCCGTCAAATGCGACCATCTCAAGAAAAAACATTTGTATTTTCTGAGACATGAACTATCATAACAAAGACAAGAAGCCAGTTTGTGGGAAGATGGGCCAGGCTGTGTGTTGCTGCGTGTGAGTGAAGTACTTTAATATGTGCAACATGTACTTTAATATGTGCGACATGTACTTTAATATGTGCGACATGTACTTTAATATGTACAACATCTACTTTAATATGTACGACATGTACTTTAATATGTACACCATGTAGGAGTGTGGTACTTTTATCTCCGTACGCGGATCTTACTCAGTCTACGGCGGTCAGACTGAGCGGTAAAACTCAGTCAGACAAAGTGGGAGAGAAGCATCTTCCAGTGTTCATGGTGAAAAAACAACGTCAAACTAATATAAAGTTGGACTAACAGATAATAAAATGCCAGGGGGCGAAACTAGTCTTTCATCCACATCAGTGATACTTTGTCAAGATATTGTTGACATAGAAACAAGTTTAATAGAATTAGGGATGCTCCGATCGCCAATTTTGGGGCCGATCGCCGATTCGATCGAGTGGGCGGGGCCTATGGGGATCTTCCATTTAAAGTGATGTTTAAAACTCAGTTAATGGAGCTCATTCACTGGCGCTTCCAAAAACAACAACCAACATAATTATTACATTCAAATGAAGTACATTATTCAAGTTTACATTAACTTTGGAGAATAACATGGGAGAAATGAGCGGAAGCGCTCTCTTTTCCTCTCTCCCCATCTCTCTCTCTCCTGACAGCCCGTCAGTATCTCATGCAGCTCGCTGACCCGACAGTGAAGAATACATATGTGTATAACTAGTTTAGCTTGTCCCAGAGGTAGATAAAATAGCTAAGTGTGTTAGGTCTAACTCTTAGTGTGTGTTTCGCTCCGCTCACCGGTCCGTCTCAGCGGGTGGAGCTGCAGGATTTCTGCTTCACACACGTTGCATACCGCTATTTTACTGTCATTTTCGGACACCTTAAAATACTGCCAGACCGGTGAAGCCATTTTGGCGAGCTTGTTTTGCCGCGCACAGAGAAAAGTGTCATGTATTTTTTACGTCATGTGATTGGCTCTCCTGATCGGCCTTTATAGAGAGCTCCGATCGATCGGCAGGGAGTGAATATCGGCCGATATCGATCGACGGACGATCGGTCGGAGCATCCCTAAATAGAAGTATGATTTGGCGTTAGACTCACATGAATCAGCTCCTGATCACACTGTCCTCTCTCGTAGGCCACACAGGCCAGGTGGGGGTCTCTCTTCTCGCAGTACTTGCCCACTACGCGGCTGTCGTAGAAGGGGTTCTCCCTCAGGAAGCGCTCGGGGTTGTTGTTGCTGTCGATGTAGATCTTGGCCAGGGCGTTGTGGGTGGCGGGCTCCTCGCAACCTTCATGAATGCGAGCTTCTAACCACGGCAGCAGCAGCTTCAGTCTGGAGGAAGATGCAGTCAGTAATAGGGATGCCAGCGATTATTCGATTATTCGATACAGTCTCCATAATCGAAAATTCTTTTCTTTTTCTTTAAATTCGATTTTATTTATATATATATTTTTATTATTATTTATGTTTTTCATTTTTTTCCTGGCTTAGTTTCAACCAAAATATAGACTAATGCTAATAATAGCAAGCGTCGGCGGCGGTTAATAATCGATTAATATTCGCCAGGGCGGTCCGATTTTCTAATTTGATCATGGTCAGTTTCTGGCTTCAGAACAGCAACATAAATACATGTGCTGCCTCATGACTTTATTCACCTCATGTTTTACCTGCTCTAGGGCGCTACCGCATAGTCTTATTTTAACTTGGTACTTCCGGTTAGCTGCTAGTGCTAACCAGGAAGAACCAAGCCCCCAGGAAGTGCGCTGGACTCTGAGGAAAATATTTGTTGTGGCCAAACGGCGGTACTACACTTCCGTATTAGTCGCTGGGCCCGGAAATACTTTTTCCCATTGACTAACATTGGGAAAGAGACGTCTGTAAATCGTTGGATAATTTTTTTAAACTAAATAAACTACCCAGTAAGAACATTTGTATAGCCCTTATTAAAAACATTCGGTCCTCAAGTTGTAAAATGTGCTAATAACGTTATTTTGAGTTATTTTCCTCGGCATTATGAACGCAGATCTAACCCACGGGACCGCGCTGCCCGGCACGTTCATGTGACGTGTTCAGTACCTTTACCCATGGATGCACAATAAGAATGGATTATATGATAATATGAATACTTTTGTGACGTTTTGCTCTCTCAAAAGTTGGGCCAATTTGTCTTCATGCGCCAATGAGCAACTCTCATAGGAATGAACGAGGCCCCGCCTCCCTTGCTGTATCCAGTTCTTATTATACATNAGTACCAGGCGGCCGTGGACGGAGCCCGCAAGGCCAACAGCACCCGCACCTGGAAGGAGGTGAGGGAGCTTTATTTTTAAGTCTTCAAGGTGGAAATGAAAGTGTCAAATGTTGGGCTGTGAACAAGACTTTCTATTGCGATATAGGTTTGTTTTATATCTCCAGGAAGGTAAATATCACAGTAAAGACAAATAAATATTTGCTTAGCCCTTATCACAATTTATTACATGGTTTAGTTGAATACTCGATTCTGATTGGCTGAGACTGCCAAGGCACACNCTGTCTGTGGTCACATCTCATACCAGTGATATTAAGGTCCCCTATTATACTGTTTTTCATCAATATATTACAGGCCTCAGATATATACAAAACATGTGTCTGAAGTGTTTGGCTCGAAATACCGAACAGATCATTGCAGCATCCCATAATCCCCT